TGACAGAAGTTGAGTGCTTCATTTTGTGTACTAAGTATCAATGCGATTATTTGTATGGTTTTACCAAGCCCCATTAATGGACGAAAACCTAGTATGGACAGAAGCTTCTATCCCAAAAAATTTATCATCATCAGTAAATTTCCCAATTTTAAATTGTTCCATCAAAAATATTACGATTCTTAATAAATTCAATTATTATTATACTGGAATATAATACTTATAGGAAATGATGATACCCCTACATATTGTCCTATATGGGCGTCCCGGAAATACAGAGATTGTAAGCACACACTTGGCTGAACGAAAGGTGTATTTGACCGATCCCATTATTTACAATGTCGCGACGCGTTACTCAAATCCACACAATTCGCCACATGGTTGCATTTCTCAATTGAATAAAAACGTGAATAACCAATATAGAGGTTACCAAGGAACTTATGGAAATACAACTACAATGTCTCCAGAAGAAATGAAAAATCAAATTGATAAAGTATTTGATTCTTTAATGAATGCTGAAAATATTCCGGAGGCACAGCCTGGTCAGTGAACCAAACAATGTTTGTAGTACGACGATTTATCATTATTCATTGTCATTAAGAATGATTTTGGCAAATATTACAACCCCAGATCCACGCCTTATTACACCATTATACAAACATCAAAAACAAGCTCTATATTTTCTTTTGGAACGTGAAAAATACAATGATTTCACTAACAATGAGACCAACGCATTGACATCTCTTTGGCGCACGGGAACAAGTGCTGGGCGTCATACGGTTTATTACAATGTCATTACAAATAAAGAAACAATGGAAAAACCTCAAATGAGGGGTGGGATTGTTGCAGATGACGTATGTTTTTTTTCAAAGTTATTGTATTGAAACCCTTTGTCATTAAATAATCTTTTCATTATAGATGGGGCTTGGTAAAACCATACAAATAATCGCATTGATACTTAGTACACAAAATGAAGCACTCAACTTCTGTCAGAATTCTGATGAAGCGTGTGTTTCGAAAACCATGATCGAAACTTCAACATCTGGTTCACATATAACGGCTAGTAGTCACAACTTCGCAAGTAAATCCCACACTTCATCAACATTTTTAAAACAGGATCATTTAATAAGATCTAGAGGAACCTTAATAATATGTCCTCTTTCGGCTGTATCAAATTGGGAGGAACAGCTTTCTAGTCATGTTCAAGAAGGTGCATTGAGTTTATATGTATATCATGGAGGGGCCCGAATTTCAGACCCTTCTCTTCTAGTAAATTACGACATTGTGATTACAACATACAACGTTTCTGGAACAGAGTACAGTAAACAGTCACGGGAAAATAGCTCTATACCTAGTGCTTTGCAAAAGATTCATTGGTTCCGAATTGTGTTAGATGAAGCGCACATTATTAGAGATGTTAATACAGTACAGAGTAAGGCTGCACATTCTTTGAAGTCAGAACGACGATGGTGCTTGACGGGGACACCTATTCAAAATAAGTAAGAATTTTCATTAGCATTGTTTCGTACAAAAATGCATACGATGTTAATAATATCATATATTTTTTCATAGGGTGGATGATCTTTTTGCGCTTATCAAATTTCTACATATGCATCCTTTTGATGAAAAAGACAAATGGAATTATTATATCTCGCGTCCGATAAAGTCAATTGACCTTGTTGGCATAAGTCGGCTACAAATTTTGATGAAATGCATTACCCTCCGCAGAACAAAAATACATGATGGAAAGCCCTTGTTATCTTTGCCACCTCGTAACTATTATATACGATATCTTGAACTTAACGAGTACGAACGTAAATTGTATGATAAAATATATTGTTCACAAGCTGAACAGTTCAAAAGATTAGAGCAACAAAATAATATTATGCAACATTACGTGAGCATTTTACAGTCTATATTAAGATTGCGTCAAATTTGTGCACATTTTGCCTTAGTCAAAGAGTCAGAGCTACTGGATGATTTTGGAGGCAAGGCTGTTAGTGATGGTTTAACCCCTGCAAGAGGAATGATGTTGCTTAACCTTGTCAGAGAAAGTGGCATGGATCAATGTGGTTCTTGTATGCAGGAATTAGCACAAACTTCCATTGTGACGAAATGCGAACATTTGTTTTGTATGGAATGCGCAACAAAGGTGATGGGTGATATATTAGTATCAACAAATTCAATAACAAATTCATGTAAGTCGCCCGCATTTGTTGCTTGTCCTTCATGCGGACACATTCTAGGAACATCTGATGTCCTTGAAGTCAATGATTCAAAAAATTTTGAAAATAATTATCAGTTAAGAACTGATAGAGAAAAAAACATACATAGTACCAAAGTAGAAGCTTTAGTCACTGATTTATTGCAAGCAAAGGTTGATGGCATTAAAAGTGTTGTATTTTCACAATGGACTAGAATGTTGGACTTGATTGAGGTTCGACTTGATACATTTAAATGTTTACACTTGTATATAACAAAAAGTCAACATTGACTTTTATTAATTCCATGATAGGACGCTTTGAAAGAAAAAAATATTCTTTTTACACGGCTAGATGGCACTATGAGTCGAGCTGAACGTACACATAATATGGACGTTTTTAAGCAGAAAAATGACGTGAGCGTCATACTCGTTTCATTAAAGGCCGGTTGTGTTGGGTAAGAGTTGGTTTGATAATTTACTCTCCCATATCCTCGAATATATATGAATGTATGAAATTTAGCGATAAGAATCCTATTAATTCAAAGTTTATCCATGTTCATAGATTGAATTTAACAAGCGCTCAAAGAGTATATCTTATGGATCCTTTTTGGTAAGATAAATTTGTACATTTTGTGTTCATGGATTCTTTTATAGTTTAATAACTTTGTTACTTTTTATAATTATGCGGTGTTAAAGGAATCCATCAGTAGAAAGTCAAGCGATTGATAGAATTCATCGATTAGGACAGACCTCTGCTGTGGATATAATTAAATTTATTATTCAAGTAAGTTTTATACCCAAATTCATTAATTTATGGCGATAAATGTTTAATTAAATTCTTATTTTTCAGGATTCAGTGGAAGAAGGTATTTTAGAACGGCAACGTCGCAAATTAGAACTTGCAAAGTTGACATTATCCAAAAAATTGAGTAAAGAAGAAATTGCAAAACGTAGATTAGAAGATTTGAAAATTTTGTTCAAATAAATATTTTTAATTTTGTTTATATTAAGGTCTCTTGGTTGTTAGATATATGTGCCAGGAGTACTATAATAATTACTGTTCATATACGTTAAATAAATTCTAGGAAATTATGCTTTTGTTAAAGCGGAAGCAAACATTCTATGACGTATAGGTTTATATTTATGTAAGAAATAGTTTTTATAGTGACTCGGTCAACATAGTGTTTTGGGCGGGTAACGCGGGTTGAGGTATCATCACCCGATTGAAGACGGGTAGTACCCCAGCCATGGCGAAAAGAGCACTAATTTCCCCAAAGTTTCTATTGGTCGTTGATAACCCGCATTTTTGATTGGATAAAATTATAATCTCAAATAACGTGCCATCAAAAATCAAAACGTTTCAACTTTGATTTTTTTTAAAAAAATCCCCGATTTCTAATTTTTTTTTTATTGTAAATTATATATAGGCTTGATGTTGCAAAGAGATAAATTAACAAAAAAGATTTTTGAAAAATCAATTTTTATGTTATAAATTTTATAATAATTATAAAAAAAATATAAATTTTAAAAAAGCTATATTACAGTAAATTAGGGTTTAGAGCATAGGGGCATGAGGCATGCCCCTAAGGGCATGCCCTTAGAGCATGCCTAAAATCCAAAAGACATGCCTTGTCATGTGATCTTTAAAGTTATTTTGATTGGCTAATAGGTTTAGATAAGGCCAAAAATATAATATATACTAAACAATATGTGAGATTTTTAGAAAGTTGTGTTAATTACATAATTTAAAAAAGAATATTTCTGTAGTTATAAGAAGCATGTCTCAACTCAAGGCAGTGAGTGTTTTGATTTTTTTTTCTACTTAATTATTGTTTTTATATAAGTATAAAAGAGCATGCTTCTGAGGCATGCCTAGATGCATACTTTTTAACCAAAAAACATACCTTTGTTATATAATCTATAGCTAACATATAATTGGCTATTTTAGTGATTAACTAATTAGAATACAAATATCTTATTACATTGGGAAAATTAAATCTGCAACAATTTGTATTTTCACAGATTTTTGCAAATTTTTTACAAAAAATCTGTAAAATTTTCTAGAATTTGAAGTTTTTACAGAAATATATTTAATTTCTAAATCTTAGTTCTTTCTCATTTGTGATTGTTTCAACTAACCCTAATATATTAACTTCATTCTTTGACATCCACTCATCTATTGCTTTAAGCTTTGTCTTATTACCCTTAATTTTATTAATGTTGTAGCATACTATATTTAATCTAATGTCTCTTTTTTGTATTATAAGGCTTGACTTTGTATTGTCCTTACTGCTTTGTGGCTAAGTTCTTTTTGTATGACTTAATATTGAGCAACCACTTTCTTTTTTTACAATATCTATGGCAATTTTTAGGAGCAATTGGGGGTGTTAACCTTCTGTTGTCTTCTTTCGATCTTATCAAGCCTCTTCATAATTTCTTCTAACATGTTACTAAATTTTTCTACAATTACTTGATTTCATCGATTTCTTTTGTATTGCTTAGTGACTCTTCATTACTTATTTCTTTTTAGTTCTTTTTGTTTGCTCTTCTTTTCTCTTTAACTTCTAACTGGGATTCAATTCTAGGCTTCTGTGTGTGATCTCTAACTGCTTCATTTGTCTCTCTTTTCTTGAGTTTGTTTAAGCCCAGAATGTGCTTTTTAGAATTTTTTCTTTCATCTGGAAAACATCTTTCTTTTAACATGTCTTTGTATCTTCTTTCTCCAGATCACTTCCACTTTTTTTTTCCTTTATCTAGCCATTTAAGCTTTGTATTATAA